AAGATGCCGATTATTACAGAGCTACTTGTATTTCTGGTCGGTTAAAACTTTTTAAGAGTACATTTGTTCATTTCGTTTTATGTGTTTTTTTTTTTTTTTTTTTTTTTTGTAGGGTTCAATGATCCTAATTATATCGACAGGGTTCAGAATCTTTTGCCGATGCTCCACGACTATTAATGTCCGAATTATAATTAATCGGGGTTGAAACGTCGTTAAACCATCTTAATGGTTTTTTGAAGCATGAATAAGTCTTCGTAAGTACGTAAAATAACATGTAAAACTATTTTATTATTTATTATTATTTTATCTTTTTTTTATTATTTTATCTTTTTTTGCTACAGCAGTATCGATCAAATTTTCTTTTTATTTTCAATAAATACAGTAAGTAGATATATTACTTATCAAATTCATTCTTATACGAATTTAACTTACATAATGCTTTTTAAATCACTGTATTAAGAACCTATTCAGGCTCTCTTCTGTTCATGAATGATTTTATGCTATGATCTGAGAAAACGTATATATTAAGCTACAAACCTCTATAAGTATACACTCTTGGGGCTAAACTTTAATAATGTGCACTTAGAAAACAATATATTTATGGATGTCATGGATATATTTGGACCAGAATTTTAGAGGGTGTGCACTTATAGAGGGCGCACTCAGCATTGGAATTGGACATATGTCCAATAATTTTGAAAAGAATTGAACATATAAAACTTTATATGTCCAGTGATTTTCAAAACTATTGGACCCAAAACTGGGTGCACATGTGGAGGTTTTATATCTATTGTATCTAATTATCCTTTCCAAGCACCTCATCTAATATCAGGTCGTCCGATAGACCTATTGAAGGTTTGATTATTGCAGTTTAATAGTTATACTGCATAAAATGTTTGATTATTTTAGGCTTCATGTATGTTTGGCCGTATTAATATATGTCGCGGATGATATTGAAATCAGATGATGCTGAAATTTGGTCCCATTTCGATATGAACGTTTAAAATTTTTAGAGGGTGTTTTTTACCGCCTTTTCTTTGGTGTTAGGTTAGGTTTTAGTATTAGAGTTTATAATTAAAAAGTATACCGGTATGTGGATTTTAGCAGGGCTTATATTTTATAATCGAGACCCAGATTTCAGCATCATCCAATTTCATGATCATTCGCGACAATATATATTAACAAAAAATTAAATTTGTTAAATCAGCATCCGGAAAACATGTACCAGTATTGCGCAAGCGATGTAAACTAAATCCGATTGGGATTTTTACATAATTTAGGTTAGGTCGATAGTTTCAAACCGAACTTGAAGCCCAAAGTCTTACCATTCTTTTTTATATATCCGGTATAATTATTGAATCTAGTAAAAGCTCCGGGAATCTACTAATTTTAACTACCAATGTTGTCCAATGACCTGTAATGTATATAATATTTAAATAGTATTAAGCTTTGCAGCTTTTAGATTTAAGCACACTGTTTCGGGACTTCTCAGTTCGCTTCTGTTTAGCACTGTTACGTAATCTAATAAAGGCGTAACAGGTAATATACTGTAATTTATGTTACGTTTTCACCCATTGTGCGTATAAACATCTTAAAGGCATTTTTTTTGTCTGCTTTAAACGAAGAAAAGTTCTCAAGCTCAACAAAAAACCTTCGGTTAACTCAGTTAATTAGGGTACTCAGCTAATCTGATTAACCGACTATTGGCTTGGCTAACCCTATTAGCTTAGTTAACTCGGATAACTCGGTTGACCCGGTTAATTCGGTTGACCCGGCTAATTCGGTTGGCACGGGTCAACTGATCTAACCGAAATAATACGGTTGAACCGATTGTATCCGGGTAAGCTAACTCGGTTAACCGATTTGGATTTTTTTACCCGGTTCAAATCATTAATCTAGTTCAACAAAAGGAAGGTCTGTGCTGGTATTGTTATTATAAAGCATATGAAATCGAGTTAATGGTGTTAAGTCTGCGAATCATATTGATGACCAATCAGCAAGAGCGATAGTATATAATGAAATCAAATCGCTCCTTCCTGATATTACTGATGTAAACTTGCGTAAAATGACTTCCGGAGCAAAAAAAGTATATATATTCTATGAAGGAGTAGGAATTGATAAAAGTCAAATAACTTACAGTGCAAGTGCTATTTCAAAAGATATTCAGATAGCATGAGTTCTAGTCCTGCATTAATCATGAGAATAGGGAATACGTCATATGATACACAAAAAAAAAACTTTGTCAGGCTATACAGTTCTCTCGAGCTACATAACTTTCATAAGAGGTGACTGCGAAGGTATAAATATGTATGTATAAGCTTCCAAATGAACGTGCAGCACGTACGTACCAGTTAATATACCGTAATATAATATTGGTCTTACATATTCTCACGCGAAGAACTCTTTATTTCACATAATACGTTTAGGATACTTGTAATAGTTAGAGAAATTGTATAATTTTAAGATCTAGGTAGATAGTTAAATATAGAGTTTGTAGTTCAGTAGTTATATGAATGGGTGCCGGTCAAAATCACGACAAGCACAATCACGACAAAAAAATCCCAACAGTCAAAATCATGGGGTATGTTTAAAGCGAAGTAGACTCTTATAATTTAATAATTAACTTTAGGGTTAAGTCACTTTAGATAAGGGTTAGGCTAGGATTAGCTATGATTTATGATATTTTTTATCAGAATTTTTAAATTGTCGGAATTTTTAACTGTCGGATTTTTGCTTGTCGGGATTTTTGCTGTCGGGATTTTTTTGTCGGGATTATGACCTGTCGTGATTTCGCTTGTCAGGATTTTGACTCAAACCCATATGAATATACTATGTATGAACGTAAAAATGGATTTGTATGGTGTATATTTACAAGTATGAATTAACTGTAACAATAACGATATATAGTAGGTATTACATTAGGCGTCTATGAAGTAAATATATAATATCGATTAACTTCGTATATGCGACTAGCAAATGAGACTCGTGGGATAAGAGAAGATATTAGCATGCAGAATTATAATTCAAAATAAATGCACAATCAGAAATACTATAGTAAAGTTTTTAGAAATACTATCGCTATCATATATTAGGATTATTATTGTCGTTACATATCGATATCGTGTTTAAAAGGATATTAGCCAATCACATATAATGAAGGTCATCTGACATGATAACCAATAAAAATAACGATTTTCCCAAGTCATTAACAGTAACTGGTAAGGGTGTCCAAAATTATGCATAATTGACCATTTTTTCGCATCGCATATGCTTCACATAATTAGGCCACTCCAAATTGATTCTTCGTTTAACATAACATTAAATAGTTCATAAGAGTGGGGGGAGGGCGTGAAAAATACACAAATTAAAAAAAACAGCAATTTTATTGGTTGATTTAACATGTGTAAGTTATATAAAATTTAAAAAATTGAGGAGGGTAAATACTATTAATTACTATTAATGAGTATTGGGTTCATATAAATTTTAAAAAATTGGGGGGGGGGGGGTTATGTTAAACGAAGAATTAAATTGGTCTGGCCTTAAGCAAAAAAAGTATTCAGATCATGTGGCTCAAATATGATGGTAGATGTAGAAAATAAAAATGAACTCAAAAGACGAGCAAGGTTGAAGCAATTTTTTGGATCAATATCCGAATGATTCCGAAGGTAGTATAATAAATACATATAGCATAATACAGTATTAAGAACTTTTATTTAAAGATCTAAAATTAACTCATATAATAAAATTTTGAGATATTTAAAATTTCTTTTTTTACCATTCATTTTTGCTATACTAGATTCTACGATTTGATTGATTAATGATATGATTTAATCAGGGGCAAGTTAGCAGAATTCATTTATTTATACTCATATAAGCTATTCACATTTTGTAAAACATAAAGATGCATTAGTCCCTCCAAATCCAAATGAATTGGTTAATGCAGCTCTGATTCCAGGATGTTGCTGCGCATTCAATTGGACGTAATTAAAAGATAAAAAATCTGATGCTGGATCACCAGGATTGTGAAGATTTAAAGTTGGTGGAAGAATATCCTAGCAATTCAATAAGAATTAGAGAGCTTCTAGTGAAAAAAGCTTTGAGTAATTGGTAACTTACATGGTATAATGCCAAAATAGTAAATATGGCTTCAACGGCACCAGCAGCTCCTAATAAGTGACCTATGGATCCCTTGACCGATGATACCGCTAACTTATGAGGTGATCCGCAAGTTTCAAAAATTGACTTGATTGCTCGATTTTCAGCAATATCTCCTAAAGATTGTTATATTGTTATGAATCTTGATACGAACATAAATTATGGCAAGAAGGAAATTCAATACCTAATAAGGTTGATGTAGCATGGGCATTAATATAATCAATATCCCTTGGAGATAATTTAGCATTATTTAATGCCCTTCGCATAGCTAATTCTGCACCAGCTCCATTTTCTAACGGAGCTGTCATATGATATGCATCACCTATTGTGGTAAACTAATGCATAAGTAATGTTATAATGAATTAAACAAGTATATTCATATTTACCTGATAATCCATAACCTCGAATTTCAGCATACATGTGTGCACCTCTGTTTTTTGCATGATTATATTCCTGTATTAAAAAAAAAAAAAGATATTAGAAATAAATCAACTAGATAAATCACAAAATAAAAATCGACTAACCTCAAGTACTACGACTCCAGCACCTTCACTGATGACAAATCCATCTCGATCTCGATCAAATGGCCTTGAAGCCTCTTCCGGCCTGTCATTGTACTTGGTTACTAATGATTTTGCTCTGTTTAACGGACAAAATATTATTATTCATGACACCAGGGAAAAAATATATATATTTATTAATTATCTCACTTCGCAAATCCTGCAATAGCTAAAGGTAATATACTAGCTTCTGATCCACCGGCAATCATAACATCCGCATCTCCGAATTGAATAAATCTGCTTGCGTCGCCGATAGCATGTGCCCCAGTTGTACATGCTGTAGATACTGCGTGATTTGGTCCCTTTAAAACATTATGAAGTTTTGTTAATATGTTTTAAACAGAAATTGTGAAGAATTGAGATAACTTACACGAAACCCATACTTCATCGTTAAGTGACCCGCAGCCATATTTATTAATATTTTTGGCACAAACATCGGACTTACCTTCTTAGGACCCTTTGTGCACGTATTCAATTGTTAATACCCATTCATATAAATAAAAAAAAATTGGTGAAATCGACCTACATAATTCTCAAATGCCATAGTATTTGAGATAACATCTTCAAGACTCCCGATTCCTGATCCTATGCACACACCCTATTTATAGATCATCTTTTACATTTATAATCCAATTTACAGATATTTTTAAGACTTTTCCTTATGACCACATACAGTTCGCTCCTTTTCAAAATCCGATACTGATGTCCATTCAGCATCATTCAGAGCTTGTTTTGCTGCGCAAATTGCGTATTGAGTAAACAATGCCATTTTTCTTTCATCCTAAATTATTCAAAAGAACTATTAATCCCATATGTAAAATTAATCAAATTATTAATCGGGCATCATTTTAACTACCCCAGGATCTAACCACTCTTTTGGATCAAAACCCCCGTCATCGTATTTTCCTGATTTTACAGTACCAGCAACAGTCGATGATAACTTATTAAATTCCCCCTCCTTTTTTTCTTCAGGGGTATTTTGATTAACACCAGGTTTACTGGTAATATTACTTGATTTTAGAGATATTATACCACTTTCACTATTGATTAATTTTTTCCATGATGACTTTACACCAGTTGATAAGGGTGTAACTAAGCCTAAACCTGTTATTACCACCCTACGAGAAGACATTTCCTCCGATGTGTTAAAAAGATTTCTAGTCTTGATTATGCGGTGATGTGACACAAATAGAATATCTTTAAAGTGTCACATGAAATACTGGTGCCCGAAAGGGCATAGGAGCAAAACATTCATTTTTGATACTTCTGTACCTACTTTTTTGATACACCTAAACATACCTTAAAACTAACGTAAAAGCCAATAAAAGCATAGAAATTTGAGATTTGTATGTATAGGCGTATCAAAATGTAGATCAAAAATGAAGGTTTTGCGGCATAGGATCGATTTTATGTTCGTCTTCAAACAAAAAGACTTATGTAAGTTTTATATAAAATTACACGAGGAAGTTTTTTGTTCGAACCCAAAGGCGGTTACTAGCATAAGTTTTGAGATAAACGCGATATTTGCAACGTTTGAATTTTTTCTATGCTAACTTGATCCTGACTTTTAATTGGCCAATTGGTCTCGCAAAATCGCGTGACATATAAAATCGATCCTATGCCCCGGCGTTGTTGAATTGACCTTGGTGACATCAATTAAAAATGATGGATGTAATTTTACAGGATTATAAGTAAGGTTTAATTCAATAACCATGAACACTAACCAAAAACAAAAACATAAAGTCCAAAAATTTAACGACGTTACTGTAAAAGTATCTAGATTCCATTCTCGAAAGTAAATAAACAATTTTCTTTATATACTGATAATTTTGTTCTTAAGTACCGTAAATTCAAAAAATAAGCACCATACCCCCTACCCTATTTTTTCAATCTCAGATTAGCGGAAATAGCAATAAAATCTTTATTGAAGTTAGGGTGCTCTCAAGCAGTGTTGGCACTGGAAGACCACTGGAAGTAAAATTAATAGTGTAACTAGAACTTTTACTATTACAAAATCCCACTGGAAGGCTAGAAATTCCCACTGGAAGCCAAAATTGCCAACACTGCTCTCAAGCATCTAAATCAATAGGTCTGAGTTCAATTTTTAATTAGTGGAAAATAAATTATTCGGTCAAGCGAGTTCATTATCGCGACGAAAAAAAAGATGTTCAAAGACCATCTTTTTTTATCATAGAGTTGTGCTGATTGGCTAAAATTTAATATCCGCGTTTCGCAACATGAACCTTTGACAAAATACTGTAAGGTTTACTTCAATTGATCGTAGTACTTGTGCACGATCTCTATATTTAGCTAATTACACTAAAGACACCCTTAATCTGAGGTCGAAAAAAGTAGGATAGAGGGTGTGATGCTTATTTTCTGAGTTTACGGTACTATTTATTCGCTGTGACGGCGGGAATAATGAAATATCTTCCTAGTTGGAGATGGGCAAAAGTTTATATATTCTTATATATTTTTACATATTTAATATCAAGTTTAATATTTATTTTTTTAAAAAAAAATTTTTAGTAACAAATTTCAATTTATCACATACAATAATGATTAATTTAATGATTAAGTATTATCGAGATTTCTAAAACTAACCAATCCTCCTTGAATATTATGCGTAGCTTGAATATAAGATTCAATTACGGCTTGAACGATTTGATCAAGCCTATTTTCTTTATTTTGAACAATATGATGTGAATTATTTCTTTCTTTGCAATATGCCATCGAATGCATGTTATTTTTGTTGCACGTTCATTTGTAAGTTTGTTACGCTGTGGTGAATGGATATTTGCAAATAAATGACCAGAATCTTTCGCTTTCAGCAGAATTCAGCAGAATTCAGCAGAAGTAGGTGGTATCGACATAACTCGTGCAGCAAAATCAGGTGAGATCGATCTTTTTATTTAACTCATAACAATTTTGTATATACGTAGTTTATAGTTTATTTGTAATTGAGTAATTTATTTGTAATCGATGACTCTTAAATTACTTAATAATATGTACTAATTTATAAGATATGTAAGTGTTAAATTTTAGCTATCGCTTCATAATTATTACATTGCCCATCCCTATTCCTAGTAGCATATGTATGGCACAAAGCGCCCGATTCTATCATTTCCCCGACACGAGTGTAATGAGAAGTGAACTAGGAAAACCACTGTTTGGCGCTTGCTTTCAAACGGTGATTTTTCTAGTCCACCCTTATTTATCGTTTCATATGACGACATCGAGTTACTGATAATTTTCTGTCTTTTTAAAAAATTACAAATAAAAAAGCTCGGGGAGGTAACTAATGAATCTGAGGAAATAACTAACGTGAATAAGTACTATCAGTGATGTAAATTGGATCCGCACAGTAGGCGCAGCGCACATAGATTTAAATGTGCGCATATATCAGCGCTCTTCATATATATATAATGCGCGTATAAATTTCTTTTTTGTGCATATTTTTTTTGCGTTTGCGCCAATAAAAATTTTTTGAATTTATAACACTGAGTACTATTAGGGCTGTTAATCGGTCGTCTAAAGCCAGGCGTGTTCACGTGACTTACCACCAATCATATCGTAAATTTTGATTTACCCGGATCAGCCCGACGAGACAAAAACAAAGAAAAAAAGTGAAAAACGCGAAAAATACGAGAAATGAGTGTCTAAACCTGTCTCGGGTCACTAATAAAAAATGCCGGGAAGACAATTTTACCTATAATCTTACCTTAACCTAACCCCTAACTAACCCTTACCTTAATTTTAATTAAATAATCAAAAACATATAAACGCACCGGGCTTTAGCCACCCCCTTATTTGGAAGGAAGCAATTAAAATTAGGGTTAGGTTTAGAGTTCTGTTGTTTTTTTTTTTGCTTCGTAAAAATTTTACGATTTTGATTGGTTAGTTTATGTAGATCACACAATTTGATTGGCTAATTTATGTAGATCACCCAAATAAGGGGTACGTCTAAAGCCGTGTGCGGTCATATGTTTTTGACTTTTTAATTAGAGTTAGGGTAAGGGTTAAAGTAGAGTTAAGGTGAGGATAGGTGTTATAGTAAAATTGCCTCCCCGACATTTTTTATTAAGTACCCAAGGTAGGTTTAGACACTCGTTTCTTGTATTTTTGACGTTTTTCACTTTTTTTTGGTTTTTTTCTTCGTCGGCTGATCCGTGTCGATCAAAACAAACAATTTTATTGGCTCTGTGTCACGTGACTGCACACGGCTTTAGACGACCCCCAAATAAGGAAATTGAAAAATGGGTCGGTAAAATTGGTCGAGATGATCTAATAAATTACTAGCCCCAGAGAAGTATAATCGTTTATCGCCAATAAGTAACCTACCTTGAAAACTTCCTGGGAAGAAACTTTATTAACTTTTTTTAAAAAAATCATCTTAACTGGCAATTTGCTTGGGACCGATGCTAATCAAATCATTCTAGGACCGATTTGATTAGCATCGGTTCTAAGCAAATTGCCAGTTTTTAAGATGACTTTTTTAAAAAAAAGTTATTAATAAAGTTTCTTCCCAGGAAGTTTTCAAGGTAGGTTACTTATTGGCGATAAGCGATTATACTTCTTTGGGACTAGTCATTTATTAAATTACCTCAGGACCGATTAGGACCAATTGGAACCGATTAACAGCCCTAAGTACTATTTATACAATCAACATTCTCTATTCCGAACAGTCCGTTCCTATATGTAAAAGTATCTAATAATCATAAGAAAATGCAAACTTTAAGGGTAGGGTGTCCGTAGATCATTTTTAATAGTAATCATGTGGTATTCATATGAAATCATGTGATTGACCAAT